AATTCATCCTCAATTCAAGTTATTTTGTATAATTCTTTGACTTGAAGTTTGCATTTGCTGTAAAATCTCCAAAGTATCTTTGGTTTATCCTGTTATTATTCTGCAGCTTTGCTACCCTGTTTTGCCATGGTGATCCTGAAAAATTGCATCTGATTTTCCTGTGTTGAATGTATTTTGTTTTTGTGCTATGAAGGGTATCTACCGTGTGAATGGTGCCAAGTCTCGGGTTGAGAAGTTGTGCCAGGCGTTTGAGAATGGCAAGCACCTGGTGGAGCTCTCTGAGCTTTATCCCCACGACATTAGCAACGTACTCAAACTCTACCTGAGACAGGTGGGCTGCTTTTCAATCCTTAACATTATAGGTAATATTGAGGTTATGTATATTTACTTAAACCTGACAAAAGGGTCATCCAAATAAGGACATGCGATGGTTGAAAGTGTGCTCCACAGAACAAAGCCAGTGCAGTGATATTTATTTGTCTTTGTTTATTTTTGGTACTTACCTCCCACCTCTGACCCCTTAATAGCTTATCTCATTTCTAATTCTGTCCCACTTGTCTATTTACTTACATATTTCTGTTGTCTCTGTTTATAATCAACTTCCTTGTTTAATTTATTTTTCTTGTTCTTTTTTTCCCCCTCATACTTTTCTCTGCAGCTTCCAGAGCCGCTCATCCTGTTCCGCTACTATAATGACTTTATCGGTTTGGCCAAGGAAAGCCAGAGTATCATTGTGGAGGAACTGGAGGCTTTGCGCCTCAGTCCCGCCCCAGTGGCCCCAGCCCAGGTCAGCGTGGAGCTCAATCGAGTCCTCTTTAAGATCAAGGACCTTCTACGGCAGCTGCCACCAGCTCATTACAAGACACTGCAGTTCCTCATAGAGCATCTGCACCGGTATGGTACACATTTCTACTGAGTGAATTATTGAATTGTTCATTTTATGTGAATAGAGACATGAATCTTATTTTTAGAAAGTTCAATATCTATCTATTGTTCTCTGCAGGGTGACAGAGCAATCAGAGGAGAATAAGATGACTGCCAGCAACCTGGGTATCATCTTTGGCCCAACACTGATCAAACCAAGGCAGGCGGACGCTGAAGTTTCCCTTTCCTCTCTGGTGGATTACCCCTATCAGGCACTCATTGTTGAGCTCCTGATCAGACACTACGAAATGGTCTTTGACACCCCCCTCAGTCCCCTTAGCAGCACCTCGCCTACGGACAGTGATGCCCAATCTCGCCCCAACACCCGCCTCACCCACCAGGAGAAGGAGCAGCAGCTGAGCAGGCACTCAAAGTCGCTGGGAGACATTAAGGAGGTAATTAGTTGTCATTTGTTTTCATTAGGGGTGTAACGACTTACTACTTTGGAAAGTTTGATAGTGAAATCTATTCAGGCATCAAGTAGTCTGTGGTTGCTAATGACACAGATATTAAACACCTTTTCCAGTGTTTATATATCCTGTCTGTTGGAAAAGCAATAAACACGATGACAATTCTGCAATGATGCATTTACATTTTTTCCCATGCCATGTAGATTAAAATAAAGCCTGTGTGTCTAGATACCTATCGGATTGTCTTAGAAGGAAGAGATGCACACCCCTAATTTTCATGCTAAAAATAAGATTTTTATTTTATTGCCATGGGAGATATATATATATATATATATATATACATTAAATGGTCGATTGACACCCTGTTTTCTGTCCTTCTTGTCTTACCACTACAGCAGAGCTCTAAAGTGTATAAAAGGCATTCCTCCATAATTCCTTCTTCTCACTTATTGGCTGAGGTTCAGGAGACCATACCAAGCCTCGATGGAAGTGACTTTGAACCTGGTCAGTATTGTTACACAGCTAAGCAACCAACAGAAAGCATTATTATCAGGCCAATATTACTTCAGAAGTATTTGTTTTTGGCTGCTAAATATTGTATGCATGCTACCATTTTACTTGATATGTTAATGTTTAACCACTTGTTAATCTCTCTATTTAAAGTTGATGAAGTGGATTCAAAGACCTTCAATGGGGTTTTGTCATCAAGCGTCTCTGAGGTCCCAAAAGCTGGCGAGAGAGGCCTCTGTCGTTCTCAGCATATCACTGTCACCAGGGTCCAGCTTCGACACCCTCGCAGCAAACTCTCCTCCCGGCCAGTGAGCATGCCAGCTGAACAGATATTGAACCGGGGCCAAGTAGACGAGAAGAACACTCGGAACAGCAGTGACAAAGATGACAGGAAAGGTGGTAGCTTCGACCAGTCCATTGAAGAGGTGGACGAAACTGAGAATAAAAAATTGCGAGTGGGCACACATTACAGGAGTACATTTATCGACACCCAGACGTTACGCAGAACCTGGGACAAACAGTACAAGCATGAAGCTGCTTCCAGAACTGTCCGAATTGTGGCCAGTTCGTCCACAGAGAGTACAACAGTGGACGGCAGCCACTTATCAACTTCTGTGCCGTTGTCCTCATCAACCTTCTCCCTTGGAACTACTGGGAGCACTATTAGCACCATCTACCCCAGCAGACCTTACACCGTCGCAGTGCGACCCAGCAGAACTTTAAGAAGGGAGGACAATGTTGCTGTGGCAACAGCTTTCAGGGCTCCCAGGACTCTCCAGCCTCCCCCGGGGACCTTCTACAAGCCCCCGTCAGAAAGCAAAGCAAAAGCGCTGCAGAACTGTGCATCAGCTAACAGTGCTGAGGAAGAAGATGATGATGAGGAGGAG